TTCAAAAAAGAGACCCTTTAGCACCCGTCCGTCTGGTCCAGCTCTTGTGACACAGCACATGTGCAAGCTATGCGCCCATGTCCCCAGCCACGTCCAGATGCCGGCACCAAAGCCAGCAACGTCCGTGGCCTCACGGCGCTTTCAGGCTAATGGAGGAGACAGACCATGAACAAGCAAACAGAAACGTAAGGAAAAAAAAGAAGGCAGCAAATCCATAGAGAGAGAAAGCCGACCAGGGGGTGCCAAGGGCTAAGGGGAGGAGGGGATGGGGGGGTGAGTGCTTCATCCATCGATAAAGGGTTTCCGTTCTGGGATGAAAATGTTCTGGAGCTCGATGAAGGCGGTGGTTGCACAACATTTTGAATGTACTGTCACTGAAACGGACACGTTAAAATGGTACATTTTATGTTGTGTGTAATTCACCACAATTTAAAAAAAAAAAAAAAAAACGATATCTGTAGATGCGGCAGGTTCTGTAGAGAAAATTAGGCAGGGTGTCGTAAGAGAGAGAGATGGGGATGGGACTCGTGGAGAGTGGGTGATCGGGGAAGCACTCAGCCTCGTGAGGATCTGGGGAGAGAGCATTCCCCGAAGAGGGACACAGATGCGTGGAGATTAGGCTGGAGAGGGGGCAGAGGCCAGCAAGAAGCGTTCTATTTTCTTTGTATTGGAAGCCACTGCGGCGGGAAGATGAATGAGCTAATCAGGTATTGCAAAATTTCTTTGGCTGCTGTGCGGAGAAAGGGTGGCCGGGAGTGAGCGTGAAGCAAGGGGACCACCCGGAACATGGCCATGCGGGGAACGTCTGCAGGAAAGTACAGGGTTCCAGGCAGGGCTGGTTTGCAAGGTCGACATTTCCATGGGGGTCAGGGGGGAGGGAACTCACTGAGGCTAGGAGGGCCCAGGCCTAGCAGGCGAGGTTGCCATGGTTACCAGACGGTTCCCAGGAAACAGGGAGAAGGCAGATGTCCCATGAAAAGGAGCGTGTCACACAGCTGTCATCGGGGCCTGGACCAGGCCCACGTGGGCCACCGAGGCCGGGGCAGATGTGCAGCAGGAGAGGCTTAATTCTGAGACGCAGGGAGGATGCTGAGGAGGGTGTTCTAGAGCTGCTCCTGGTTGCTGCCCAGGCTAAGCCAACAGAGAGAGTTGGGCCTAGGACGATCCCAGTGGCGGGGGATGAGGCAGAGGGGGCTGGAGCAGACCAGTGAGCCGACACAGGAAGATGTGGGGCTCTCTGGCACGGAGCTGGCCACGTGGTGAGAACTGCCCCTTCCATGAGCACACAGGCTCAGTTCCCAGGGTGGCCAGGGTCGGCCACATTCAAGAAGCAGGCAGAAAGGAGGTGGGGGGAAGACATCTGGCTCCCAGACAAAGGACGTCCAGATGGATATAGAGGAAGCACTTGAACACCGACACAAACTGTCGGTCACGGCAGAACAGACAGGTCCAGGTGGGGAAGCTTCCTGGATCATGGCGGCAGTGCGACCACGTGTCTCCTGAGTCCTCGTCCCAGGCAACACCCAGCTTCAAGCCTAAAAAACAGGGTGACCGAGCAAGCACGGAAGGGGCCGGAGGTTGTGAGGCTCTACAACCCCTGACGTGTGGCATGGGTTTTTGTGGAGAAAGGGCCCCTTAACAGGGGAAGACAGGGTGAAGGTCATGGTAACATCGGAAGGGCTTGGTTTAAATCTAACAGGCACCTAGTGTTACAGCATGCCTTGCCAGAGTCCTGTCAGACTTCGGATTTTCTCAGAAATGGGACAAAACAGCAAATATGATGGTATAAAGGATCGAAGCTGAGGGTCTGTATCTTCCACAACGGGGCAGAACATCGGAAGATTCTCACCAAAGTATGAAGTGAAAACCAACAAACAAAAAAACGTGCCTGCGTGGTCAGGGGAGTGATGTGTGCACAGCCATGACCGTCACTGTTACCCCAGCTCATTTCCGTGTGGTCCCCAAAGGTGTGTTCAAGGATCACACCCCCCGAGGGTGTGTTCAAGGATAAAACCCCCCCCCGAGGTTCTGTAAACTAGAATGATCCGTATCACCAGTGTTTACTACCCCCCTCTCCAGGCACAACCGGATAGTGGAAAAGTTCTCAGGGACAGGGAGCACCACGCCCGGCCCCGCCCTACAGGGCCTGAGCCCTACAAACAGCAAGGTCAGGTCTGCTAGGAGCTGGGAAGTATCCCCAGAAAAGAGATGGTGGGAGGGAGGCCTTAGGGGACAAGACAGGACTGGGGCAATGGGCAGGAGCAGGCAAGGCATCATCTAGACTCATCAGGTACCGGGTAAGTTGTGCTCAGGGATCCCCAAGGGGCACGCACCTCGATGCAGCATAGCAGATGCTTCCCTCAGGACACGTGGGGGCGGGGAGTGGAGGTAAGGAAAAGATCCAGCCAGTGGAACATGTCCCCACTTACTCCTGCCCTGAGCCACCATGCAGCTGCTGTGCCCCAGGCCTCACTCTTGGCACACCAGTCTGCTGTGTTCCCTGTGATCTGTCCACCCCCAGTCTCAAGGGCCAAAGCTCTATGCGGTTCGCCAAAGTCAGCACTTAGTTGCGTTGCACAAGTGAATGAATAAGTATTCACTTATTCACTTACATGAATGAACAAATGAATGCATGCACAGATCATTTGTTGAATTAAAGTCTGAGTTCAGAAGCAAATGAATGGAGGGGGCACCTGGGTGGCTCAGTCCGTTGATCATCCGACGTCAGCCCAGGTCATGATCTCAAGGTTCGTGAGTTCAAGCCCCACGTCCAGGTCTGTGCTGACAGCTCAGAGCTTGGAGCCTGCTTCAGATTCTGTGTCCGCCCCCCCCCCCCCGCCCCTCCCCCATGCTCGCTCGCTCTGTCTTTCTCAATAAATAAACATTTTTAAAAAATTAAAATTAAAAAAACAAAAAGGAAGTGAATGAATGGACATCAGTCCCCAGACCCAAGGCCAAAGTCAAGGGATGTTCTTCTCAACTCCACTTCTTAGCATTTCGGTGACTATGGATGGATTGAGTCACTTCTGTGAGCCGTGGCTTTCCCATCTGAAATGGGGTCACAGGGCTAGGGGAGCATTCAGTGCGGGCAGGCATCTGATAAATGTATGATACTCACAGATCAGATGCGGGTTTGTTGAACCCTTCATCATGATCCCAGAACAGGAAGCGGACACCGTGTGTCCCAGTCCCTGCAGCAAAAGCTCTGCGACCTTCCAAGGCAAAGCCAGCCCCCCAGAGCCTCGACACGGTCCACCCAGGCCCTTCCGCAGGCAGGACTGAAGCAAAGAGCTGAGATTTGAACGAGATCCTGACCTGGAATACACACAGTCCTCAGTGTGTTTCCTCCTCTTCTCCATTCTTTATAAATCAGAAAATTAATTACCCGGAAAAGAGTCTTCTGCACCAGAAACCCAAATGAGTTTAATGTATAATTTACACACGAAAATGTAGATGTCAGTGTGTGACAAATTGCCATAAAAATGTTTTTGCAGTTAAATTTTTGGGCATCTGTCTTCCTCCCAGAAGAGCCAGCCTGCAGACGGTGTGAGGCCCCAGGGCTCAGGCCGGGTGGGGCTGGAAAGGCAGCCTGTCCTCGTCACCAGCTAGCGACGGCAGCTGCCAGCACAGCCCGGTCCGGAAGGCCCGGGCCTGGGTACCAGCCAGGCGCAGCCAACTCAGAGCTCTCCCTCTTGGGGTCCAAAACAGGGATTTAACTGCGTGCCAGCTCTCTGTTAGACCCAAGGATGGAAGACAGAATGCAGCCTGCTCTCATGCTCCAGTGGCTTTGGGACCCCTGGGAGAGCCAGGCAAGCAGATGATAAAGGATAGACAGTGTGTCGAGTTCTCGGGCAGGGGCGGGCGCTACACTCCTGCAGAGGAACAAGTTCTTCCCTGCACAAGGAGCATCCCCTAAAGACTCCAGTGGGTGGGGACTCGTCCTGGAGGAGTTTGTCCGGAGGCTGAAGGTAGGGGGGCGTTTCTAACAGGAAGAACTCCTTGTGCTAAGACAGAGGCTCGGGAGAGCAAGCGTGTCCCCATGGGTAGGAGCGTGGCCTGTGGCACGTGGCAAGGACTGTCCAGCAGGGAGCCCGGAGTGCAGAGAAGGAGCCAGGCCACCAAGGGGCCTGCATGCCCAGTCCAGATGCTGGACTCGGTCCTGGATTGAAAACTTTAAACAGATCAAGTCTACGCTTCACTCTGCTGAACAGTATGGAGGTCAAGGGGAGGGTTTGGGGGTGGGGAGCGAATGAGAGAGGAGATGAAGGGGCTTGGCAAACCACAAAGTGTGGCGTCCACAGAGAGTACCATCCCCAGCAGGACCCCCGAGTTCTGTCCCGAGCCTCAGCAGCCCGACAACCTCACGTGTATCTTCATCACAGGGGCACCGGTCCACGGGCGCATGACCACATAGAAGCCACGCGAAAGGCAGGTTGGGCTCCTATTTCTTCTCTGCCGCTGCTACTGCCATTTGGGGCTGGTCATTCTGTGTGCGGGACATTCCCTGACACCCTCTCTCCAGATGCCGAGCAAGGCTCGAGGCACAACCCAAGCATCCTCTCACGCGAAAATGGGGAGGACAGGCAGGGTGCGCTGTGCCGGCCCCAGCTGAGGGAGGGAGGAACTGTGTGGCCCTCCACCCTAGAACCACTGGGAAGGTCAAGAATATGCCCTCTCCCTCACCAGGCAATTACGGAGCGACATCTGAGCCCAAACCCAGATCCCAACGGTGTCTTCCCAGAACTTAGGCCTCCCACAACAAGACAGAGCAAGTCCCCACTCCCCAACCTCATCAGGGGCTCCAGGGAGCCCCCTCTGCAGCCTTGGAGCCTCGCAGACCTGGTCAAAACACAGAGGCCGGGTGAATAGGGCCAGACACTCACAGGACAAGGATTTCAAGTCCCCAGCCCTCAGCACACTAATGCTCGTTTTAAAGAACGCAGCCTGGCATCAGGAGCTTTTCCACCTCCTGGGAGGCCAGGGGGTGACCCCTCGGTGACTCCCAGCCACATACCTCGCTTGACTTTCGGGGGCCTGAGGTCCTCTGCCTCAGCCAGGGCCTCCCAAGCCTCACGCTCCCTCCAGCGCCTCAGCTGCTCCTCTCGCATTTTGTAGAAGAGGATGTGCTTCTGCACATCGCTGAGCTCGGCGAGGAGTTCGGGGTCGATGTACATGTCATGTAGGATCTGCTGCAGCATGGTGTCACCTGGGGTGCACACACCAGAAGGGCGGCCAGCCAGGGAAGCCCTGCCAGGAGGGGTACCCCAGGCTACTCCTCACCCCTGGCTCCTCACTCTGGGGCCACTCGGGGGGCCCCCTTCTCTGTGCAGCATCGTCACTCTGCCTCAGCTCCCAGCCAGTGCCAAACTCATCGCCTCTGCCCAGGACAGCAACAGGGGCCAGGCAGCAGGAAGCCAAGAGGCAGCAGGGACCCTGAAGGGGGGGTGGGGCAGGCACCCAGAGCAACCTAGTCCTTCTGACAGGTCACCAACTGCCACATCCCAGCAGCGCTTGTGTCTTGGGCTCCCCTGGGGTTCAGGGACAATGGGGAGGGTCAAAGCCTCCGGCTCTGCAGGGCATCGCCTGGACCGGCCCTGCCTGGGCTGACAGGTGTCGAGTGATCTGTTAGTGGAAGGTAACGATGACACCAGCTGTATCGATGACACTGCCCCGGGCCAGCCAGGAACTGATCTCTCCTCCGCGGGTAAGAGGAGGAGGGGGCAGCTCTGCCTACTAATTCCATGTCTTTTGAGCCAACTTCAAACAGGCCAGAGGAGCCAGCCAGGAGTTTCTAGGCTCCTCAGCCTCTCCCTCTGCCTGCTCCACCTTGCCAACCTTCTTTTCCAGGACATGTGGCATCCTGAGGTAATGCGTTTAAAACTCTGCCTTCTAACTGTGTTAGAGCCCAGCAAGACAAAAAAAAAAAAAAAAAAAAAAAAAAAAAAAAAAAAAAAAAAAAAAAAAAAAAAAATCGACAGGGACAAGGAAGGGGCTTTCCCATGGAATTCAAGGACACAAAGGAGGCCAACTTCCTCTCTGCTTCCCTAGGATGAGGTCCTAAAGCCATGCGTGTGCCTCCAGGGGTCAGTTTGGGTTGCTGTCATTGATCTTTTTGTTTGTCGCAGGTGTCTGGAGATCACTGAACAGAATGGTACCGTGTTTTCTCGGAGCCCTGAATCGGAAGCACCCTGGACAGAGTGGGTATCCTACCAGGGGGTAGGACTGGGCCCCCAGACCCTGTATTCCCACAAGTTAGCTGGGCTTCAGAAGGTAAGTAACCTGCCTATGGCTACCCAATCCACGAGTTGCCACCTTGGGACTCTACCCAGTTTTCAAATTTGACATCCACCGGCAACTGTGACTCTTTCGATGGCTTAAAAATGTTACCCCACCAGGAGAATACAACAGAACAGGGTCTGGCACCGGGGGCTGGTAGGACTGGTGACCTTCATGTCCCCTTTCCTCCCCCCAGAGGACCAAAGGTGGATCAGACACCCAAGGGTGATGGAACGCAGGTGTGAGCGGGTCCTCTTCTCCCTCTGCTAGGTTAACACACAACAGAATAATTAAGCTGTTGGGATGAGCTTCAAGCCACAGGGTCAAAAGCAAGTGCGAAGGGCCAGGCTGCCCCGCCCTCAGGTCTAGCCGGCTTGCTGCAGTGTGACCCCGACCTGGCGGCCTCCACACAGAGGCTCTGGCCACGCAGAGCCCTGGGCTCCCACCCCGCCCTCTTCTCGGCGGGGTCCTCCCGGCGCAGACATTCCGGCCACTCCCCCACCTGTGTCCTGGTTCCCTCGGTTTCTTACACCGACAGCCTTCCCTTGCCTGGGGCACAGCTCTCCCCGCCCTAGCCGGGGCTGGGTGGGAGCGCGGAGTCCAGAGCAGGGACAAGGGGGACAGGGGCACGAAGAGAGTCCAGCCTCCTGCTGGCAGCCTCCTTCTTTCTTCGGGCAGGGGGGAGGGCAGGCGCCTACACGAGAGCGGGGGGCGGGGGGAGGGGGAAG